CAAGCCCAGAATTTTCATAAGGAGACTATTAGTAAGAAAGTGAAGAAGATGAGGGCGAAGAAGAGATTACGAGACATGATTACTATTTATCTGTTGTTTGTTTAACAGTTGTTTAACTTAAAAAATAATTACTAATACCCATTTTTAGGCTGACAACAAAATATTTTTGTCTATTTTTTACTTGACTTTTTTTTAATAGAAGAGGATTTTTTCTCATTTTGCTCTAAATAAGCCGCTAAAAATTCCTCTAACATTTCAGTAATTAGTTTGTCTTGTTCATGAGCCAAACGACGAATAGTCTCGTCAAACTCGGGCGTGACTTTCGTACCAAAATAAACCGTGCGGTTAGTGCGGGTCAAATAGCGACCATCCCGGCGACCAAAACTGGGTTCAGTAATCCGAGGTTTATTTATTTTAGCCTTCGGCAAAATATTCTTATTTATTTTTCTTTTTCTGATGGGCATAGTTGTTTAACTGTTAGTCGGTCATCTTATATTATTATTTTTTAAAAATATTTTAGCAGACTTGTATTCTAGAAGTACCACAAAAATCTGCCACTAAAAACTCTTAATAACTTCCAGTAGCTGTCGGCATAGTTGATTGTTCAATTTGAGCTTGTATTGTTTCTTCTCCATAACTGCTTTCCTTTAAGCCCTTGTAGTTAATTTCACTGGTGGTTTCGCGAAGTTTATTAGGCAGCAATTTAGACTTAAGTTCGCTAGTTATAACTTGGTAAAATTCATTGCCAATATTTTCTGGAATTTTTCAATCGCTACCATAAGTAGCCCCGTGGCTTCCCCGAAAACCAAATTTTAGCACTCAGTTTAACTTTTTATTAAGGAGATTAAGGGTTACCTGACAAGGACCACAGGCTAACTTAGAAATACCAATATAATGTTCCTTTCTCGACCTTAACAAGCAAAAGTTTTTAAGAATACTTAAGAAACTTAATTTTCCCTGTCTTTTATTAAATTCGTAAATATTACTAACTATCTTTATTTCCGCATGCACGTTTTCGCTACCAGGAATAAGGTGATAGACTTGAAATAACCTTGGATTCATTTTTCCTTCTCGCAAAGCTTCAGTAATAATATTTACATCGTCCAAGAGAATTAAATATTCTCACTCCGGAGAATTAACTAATCCTTCTTCCTTCATTTTATCAGAAGCCGTTTTGGCCTCAGTCAAAATTTCTTTTCTTTTCTTCTCTTTATCAAAATTTACCTCATTTTCTACTTTTTTTCAATAACTTGTTATTTTCTTTCTGAACTCGTTAGTTAAATCTTTACTTCATAGTTGGTCAGAAGCACGCTTTTGCTTTTTATCTTCCTCTAATTTTCTCTCGATAAAAAAGCAAGTGTTTTTAATGGCTAATTTAACTAATTTCTTATAAATCTTTTTTCTACAGTCAGGCTCTTCCGCAAATTGTTTCAAGTGCTGAAGCCAGATTTCAACCTCTTGTGGATGTTCTTGATTGCTAGCAACAAGCAATAATTCTCTATCTCCATCATAACAGACAGCAATACAAACATCGCCTTTTTCTTCCTTTTTTTCTTCTGCTTTTGCTTTCCCTTTTACTTCTGCTTTTGCTCTTTTTTCCCTTCTAACTAATAGTCTTGCTAATGAATCTAAATATTTATTTTGTTCAGTTATATTATCATTTCTCCAAGGGCGGAAGCTAGCTAGGATATGACGGCCTCAAACCTTTTCTATTTCGGTCAAAATATCAAGAACTTTTTTCAGTTCATTATTTTCTTCTTCTGACATTGCGTTTCGCTCTAATTATTTTGTCTTGTTAAGATTTAACTGCTGGTTAAATTTTTCCTCTTGCTGGATTTTCTCTAGTAATTCCTCATAACGGGTAACATAAGAGGAACCATGTTCCCGCAAAATGTTCTTAATTTCACTTTGGCTTGCCTCCCGAAAATCAGGATCTACTTTTTTTAACATCCATTCCATAATTTCTCAATCTCCACCTTCATTAACTATCCCAGAAGCAGCACTGTGAAGTATAGATCAGTTGCAAATATTAACCATATTAATGTCCCCTTTTTTACTTCCATATTTATTTTTGACTAAGCACTTAAGGAGTTTTAAATTATTGCCTTCGGCAGCCGAATGCATGGGTGTGCTGCCTTCATCATCTTGTGTGTTAGGATCGGCTCCGTGTTGTAGAAGTTCAATAACTATGTTGTGGTTTTCTCGTCCAACCGCAATGTGCAAAGGAGTGAAATTGTTGTGATCTTTGTCATCAACTTCAACTGTTTTGCTTTGTAAAATTTCTTTTACTTTGCCTAGATCACCTTGTGCGACTGCATAATGCAGAGGGTAATTTTTTAGATATGCTTCTTTTTTGTTAGTAGATTGTTCATCTTTGTTTGTTTTAATGTCGCTTTCTTTTGCTACTTGCTTATTTTTATTAAATTGTTTGGTGAGGAAATTTAGCATAGTTTTTATTATTTTATTAATTTTGAATTTTGGTTTAGTGTAGAATTTTAATTTTAAGCAATTCTAAACTTAATCGCTACGGGCTATCTATATTTAAATAATCATTATCCACTTGATAATTATCAGCAACGGTTTTGCTAAGCACTCTAAGTCTTTCCTTGCTTGTCAGCATATTCTGCACCTAAACAGACTTGTTTAACTACTCGAGCCACCCTGCCAAAAACGGAAAAACCACAAATACTGCACAGGCATCTACTGCACTTTCTGTTCTTCAAAAACTAGTAAGTGTGGGGCTTAGTTATTTAATTAGCAATTAACCTTCCTAAAAACCCAATAACCAAAACTATTAATCAAAGCAACAAGTCCAAAACCAACTGGCACTCATATTTCGGCATTATTACCTAAATATTGCTGCCGAGCGATATCCGCTTGCTCTTGGTCTAATTGGATGTTTGTTGGCTCGTATATTTCATTATCAATTATTACCTTATTACTTTCTCTGCTAGGATGAGCACTACTTGAGTTTTCATCTCGTTTATTCTCCCTTTCATACTGGACTTTTTGCTTCTCTTTTGCTTGTTTTTTTTCTTCCTTTCTAACCACCTTGTCTTGGAGATGTTTAGCCTTTTCTTGCATCTTTTGTTCTTTATGTTTTCATCTTTCTTCCATTTTTTGTGCTTTTTGCTCCATTTTTTCTTCCATTGCTTTTTCTATTGGGCGTTTTTCCTGGTTTGCTTTTACTCTTTCGCACTTCTCTCGTTGGGTTTGGATATGGCTTTTTAGTTGGGTGATGTCTTTCATATAATTATTTTAGATAATTTTTAACCTAAACTTGCCAAGAAGTCTCCGAACTTCTCTAAGTCGGGGATGAATTGGCAAATAAACTAGTCAGTAGCAAAATATAACAATATATTCAAAGTCAAGGTCAAAATGAGAAAAAGTTATAAATATCGTTTGTATCCTAACCAACAAGAAAGAGAAATAATTGACAAAACATTAGAGACTTGTCGTTGGCTCTATAACTACTTCCTAGCCGAAAGAAAGAATAAATACGAAAAAGAGCAAAAGAAAATCAGTTATACCCAGCAACAAAACTCTTTACCTAAATTAAAAGAAACTAATCCCAATCTCCAAGGCATTTATTCCCAAGTTCTCCAAGATGTAGCCCAACGAGTTAAAAAGGCTTTTCAAGGCTTCTTTTTGAGATTAAGAAGTAAGACAAGTAAAGCAGGTTATCCAAGGTTCAAATCTTTTGGGAGATATGACAGTTTTACTTACTCGCAAAATAATAACAGTTATAAATTAGAGCAGGGAAAATTAAGATTAGCCAGTATTGGTAAAGTAAAAATCAAACTTCACCGAGAATTGCCGGAAACAATTAAAACTTGCTCCATTCTAGTCAAAAATGGCAAATATTATGCTTGCTTTTCGAGTGAAGTTGAACCCAAATTGCTACCAAAGACAAATAAAAAAGTAGGTATTGATTTAGGCTTAACTTCCTTTTTGGCTACTTCTAACGGAGAATTAAAAGAAGCCCCCAAAACTTACAGAAAAGCCGAAAAAGAGTTAGCCAAAGCAGGTCGGAGAGTTAGCCGAAGGATTAAAAAAAGCAAACGGAGGAGAAAAGCCGCCCTTCTTTTGGCTAAACAACATGAAAAGGTTAGTAATCAAAGAAAAGATTTGGCTCATAAACTAGCCAAGGAATTAGTGGAAAAATATGATGGTATAGCCTATGAGAAATTACAAATAGGAAACATGGTAAAAAATAGACATTTAGCCAAAAGCATCAGTGATGCTGATTGAAATCTATTTTTGACTATTCTTTCTTACAAAGTGGCAGAAACTG